AGAGATACAATACCTAACGTTCATTAAGTAATCCACAGTATCTCACTGAGCCTCTTTAATCTAATTAAGTTGCGTAATGTGAGAGTAGACTAAAGGGATTCATCCCATTTAATAATAATGATGATGTTAGTGATGGTGATTGGTGATGGTGATATTCCACTAAAATTTTCAAATGTTTTTGCACACTAGGAGTGTGTGAGCACGAATCTCGAGGAGAACTAATGGTTCGGAAGACAAAAAAGTACAACAATGGAAGGCCCACTAACAATAGTTCAGAAGCCTCGCTTACTTAATCGGATGTAGCAGTCTAAACCAAAGTCGACTAGAAGCGGCTATTCGATCAGGGCCAACAAGATTATAGACATACAAAGTAATGGTCCATGCCCAAACTTATCAGACTAAGGCATGACAGATAGGCATGCAAGTCAACCACCATAAGAAGTCCTCTAGAAAAAGGCAATCAACCTTTTCGGTAGACCAAATCAGTGATAAAACTCGGCTCCTCGGTAACATCAAACATCCTACAGACGCTCCAAAGGCTACTTATCAGTGATTGAGATTTAACCATGTTATAAGAAGTCTAAATCATCCCTATGGCTCTCCATATTAGAGAGTGAGCTACTTATCTGGTTACCATGATTCACTCTCTGCCTAATAACCAGCGTCGCTTAGCTAATAGACTCACCACCATGGATCGAAGGTCGTTAGTCAGACAAAATCAATCGATCAGTAAATTCTAGACAATGGAGTCAGCCTTGCTGACACAAGTCAATCAAAGGTTGACTCAAAATTGCCTAACGAGCATACCTCATCGAACTGAAGCCTACTAAGTTGAACAAATCGATCCATAAGATAGCCAAGCAATAAGCCCATAAATGTAAAATACTTAATATATTTTATAACCATTAAAGATGCGGCAAACATGTAACATCACATATCGTACCCTCTCCCCTAGAAACGAAATATAATTTTATGAATAAAACAGACGATTAATGTTCATTACTATGCACCTCTCTCTCTCTCCTCTCTCTCTCTCTCTCTAAGCTCAAACTTTTGAGGTGTGATTCACGAACATATAATGATTCTAACACTTATATAAAAAATGACAATGACTCACTCAATATTATTTCTAATATCTTATGAATAATAAATTTAAATTTGAAATTATCCATTTACATATTTGTTCAATATTTTTATCATCAAATATTTTATAAATAAAATTAAATTTTTTATTCATCCATCTATATTCAATATATTAAATATAAATTATTAATACAAAAAATATAAATTATTAATGTACTCGCTTGATATCTTCACCATATTTATACTCCGTAGTTCTTGCCCATGTTAAAATACACATGTGAACTCAAATATGAACTCTCATCATACAACTTGCCAAAGCATATTTATGGACTCTAATAGAGTAATAGAAGATAACATGTCTAATATCTTGTATTTGATTATGAAGAGTTGCTAGTTATTAAAAAGATCACTTGGCAAGAAAATAATAGTCTTTTATTGTATGATGCACAAACATTTCTAATTAAGAAGTTGTGTAGTTTCAGACATGAGCGCGGGCACGACCGCCCTAGATGCGGAAACGGCATGTATGATTTAAATAATATTTTTAAAATGGGAATATGAGTGTTATAAATTAGGAATTTAAAAAAAAAAATATTGATCTATAAGGATTTTATAGATTCGGATATGTCAGATGATATAGATTGTAAAAGAAGTACAACATAATATATTTTCACTTTGGAGAACATACTGGTGAGTTGAGTTTTCATACTGTAAAAAATTGTCGCACTTTCAACTATGGAAACTAAATATATTGTTATCACTGAGGCTACCAAGAAGATGATTTGGCTACATAGTTTTATGGCAGAACTAGGCAAGGAGTAGGGATTGGAAAGCTTCATAATGATAATATGAATGTTTTTCATCTATCCAATTAGAATGTTATTTCGCATGTCAAGATGAAACACATTCAGTCGAGGTATCACTTTATTCTCCCATTCCTAGAAAATGAGTAGTTATTCTTGGAAAATATACACACAATTCAGAATGTTACAGATATGTTGACTAAGGGTTTGTTTGGGGCAGCCGCGGCTTATCCAACTTATGATGATAAATAGCTTATTCTGATAATCTGCTGATGAGTAGCTGATCCGCATCCAACTTATGGTGATAAACAGTTTATCCTAATAATCTGCTGATGAGGAGCTGATTCAGATAAGCTGGCTGGTTGTTTGGTTTGTGCGTTTGGAAAACAGCTGATTCTGGATAAATGACTATTTTGCCCATGTTTTGGTGTTTTTGCCCATGTTTTGGATAAGCTGTTTAGTTGTTTGGTTTGTGTGTTTTGTAAACAGCTTATTTGCAAATTTTTTTTAGTTAAATGAACAATCTATCACACAGAATTTTTAATTTTCTCAACAAAACGATAATGTATGCATGTTCGATAGTTTAGAACCAATTAACCCCCTTCAGACTCATTCGACACATACAGACCACCGAAAAATTTCATATGGAATGTGACAAGTTTGTAAAATTAAAGTTCAAATGTTAAGACATGAAAATACAAAAGAGTTAAGTTACATTTACATAACTCAAATATTTTCAATCACATCAAAGAAGCACAGTTACATATACAAAAGTAAAATACACATTCACACACTAATATGGAGTACAATGATACCAAAAAAAAAATAACATGTTAAAATTACAAGGAAAAAAATAACAATATTGACTTTAAAATGTAAAATCATATCACGACGAATATTATCCGGTTTTGACACCCCATAACCCCGAGCAAACTTGTCGGACTTGAATATCGTAGAAACGGAAGCATTTACATACATAC